AAAAAAAAAAGTTAAAAGGAAATATAAACAAGCGTGAAATAAAAATTACTTCATTAGTTATTCAACTAATGAATAAATGAGAACGGGCAATACAATACACTAACATTTTAAGTTTTTTAATTACTAAATAAATAAAGTTGTATTAGTAGAGGATAAGCATAATTGAGTGGGAGTTATATACGCCTAAAAAAGATGACATGAAACGGCGGTGAGTGGAGCAGTTGGTTTATAAAGTAGGAAAAACCCCAATTGCAATTGACGTCTGACGATGACGACTGCGCTCTTCTCTCCTTTTACTTAACCGCATGCCCTGCAGAAGTTTTCATTCTCTATCTCTCTAATACACATTACAATTTACCTCTCATTCCTCAATAATAGATATGGAAGGTGATGCCGGGATTACCAATGACAGCCTTGCTGCTGCTACGGATCGTGCCAGCCTCCTGTCTCCTCCGGCACCCCAACCTTCTTCATGGAGACTCAACATAGACCATTTCCGTCTCCCACAAACCACCTCCTCCTCTAATCCTAATCCTAGTTCTACTTCTCTCGGTCGTTTTTCCGCTTTCCGCCGCCTCTTCAGCCGTACCCCAAGTAAGTTTCATCCACATACAAACATATACAAATCTACATGCATATATAGATATGCATCCTATTCATGATCATCACTGTCTAACGTCTATATAATTAATCGTCCGTAGTATTGTTGTTAGTTTCTACTTGATTTATTCATTTATCGCTCATCCAATCCCATCTCTTTTATTTTCTTTCATGACCTACAACATACTTTACTCATTGTTGGAGATAATGCTGCTACTTTTCTTTTACTTTCTAATTTGTTGTTTCTAATTGGTCCCATCTTGCTATCATCTAGTTATCAACTCTTAGCAGTTAAGTAATTATTAATTTGTGTTGCGTGTGTCATTGGACTCCCTACTCTTTCTCACTTAATTACGCCAGTATAATTCCACGTACTCCATTCCCAGAAGGAGTAATACGGCTGTCCCACAAACTTTCTGGGGATTCTGCCACTAGGACACTTTCTTATTGGAATCGGAATGATGGATGTATGATTATCTTTAAATGCGATTCTTATTCTTAGTGACACAACTTTTTCTTAATTCCTTATCATTGCTAACCAGAAAAGATGGACCATTTGGCTTTTTTGCTAGGCACATATGATTTAGGACTACAACCACTTTACAACCTATGTTACAAATAGGGAAAAACATTAGTGCAGTGTTAAACTGTTAATTAGACATGCAAAAAAAAAAAAAAAACCCACAAACTTTATAAATATCTGATAAGCAGATATGTGAACTTAGGGCTGTTCACTATTTGGATAAAACCGAATTGTCCAATTGGACAATTTGGATTGGACTATTTGGTTCGGATATTCAGATTTTTGGATTGGTTTTCAACAAAACCGAATTATTATTTTGGATTTCGGATTGGTTTTGGTTTATAAAATAAGAACCGAATAGTCCAAAAAAACCGAATAACAATTTGTTATTTATTTATTTTCAATATATCTATAATTATTTATTAATTTTATAATTTTTTTAAATAAGTTCAAAAAGTTTTACCTAATAAAAGACATTAATATGTATTTTCTCTCAAAAGTTTTTTATCTATTAAATAATAAACTATAACATATCTTCTTAGTGGTTGTTTATACATTTTGAATCACAAGTAAATAATTTGTTTTTGCTTCTTCTGTAAAATTAGATCATATTATAATTCTATGTCCTTTTAAAATGTTATGGTTTTTGAAAACCGAATTATAAAAACCGATTCAACCGAATTGTAATTGGATCGGATCGGATCGGATTTGAATTTAGTTTGGACTATTTGGATCCATATTTTGAAAAACCGAAATCAATTTGGATTTACTTAATTGGATCGGATCGAACCGATCCATCCAAACGAACACCCCTATGTGAACTTCATGACAAAAGACAAAAAAAAAAAAAAAAA